GCCGTTATGATCATAGAAGTCTTCAAGCCGAGTCATGTACACCTCTTGAAAATTCTCATTTAAAATGTAATTTTACATCCATTTTATGTAACTTTTATTCAAAATAATTTTCTAAGGTCATGTCTATCATCAATGAATCATTGAGACAAAATAGATTGTTTTATGATAATTTATTGCCTCGTGTTTGGATTGAAGCTCTTGACAAGTCTAGCTTTATATTATTCAATATCACTCAAGCTTGTTAGGGCATTTATACCCTTTTGTAATCAAAGGTTTTAGCTTCTTTTGGTAATTAACGATAACCCAAACTTAATTCTTAAACGTAGATTCCAACTGCTTTCATGGTATATTGTCATGACATATATTTACTCAATTCATGCCGAATAAAAATAAAATTAGGATAATTTTCTAATTTGACGTTAAAATCAGACTCTTGTAGGTGAGGTGTAGTTTGCAGGAATTGTTGATTTTCCCTGCTTTAAAGATCATCTCAATTTTAGTGTCTCTAAATTTGTAATTTTTAAAACTGTTTAAAAGTTATTTTTTGTTTGTGTAGTTCTTTAATTGGTTGCCCTTCAAAGTGATCTTGTGGATCTTATTTCATTTTTTGTTTTAGGTTGGCCATTTTGATCCCTATCTTTTGAATTTCGCTTGATTTGGAAAACCACTCCCGTTATGCTCTCAGTCCTTACGTGAAAAACTTTGCTCATATGGAGTTCAAAATTCTTAGGAAATTTAACAGTCTCAACAATTTTTGGCGTGTTATGAGGATGGAAAATCTATATTCTTTGGAGTTTATTTCACAACCAATAAATTAAATTCTATTAAATTTTAGTTGTACTATAATTTAATTTTTGTTGAAGTGAGTTTTATTAACTTAGCCTCAACAAGATATCATATCAGTAAATTGTTTGAATTAGGTTTCCATCTCTTTCATAACTTGAGCAATGTTTGAGGAACAACTTTTGATTAAACTCTTTTTATAACATATGCTGTTCTCGCTGCTTGCTATATATCATTGTTGCTACTGACTACTGCTTCACTTCAAAGAGATGAAAGAAATTTAGGTTTCATACTCATACTATTTATCACTTTTGTTCGCATGTACTTTCTTCTTCCTACCACATTATTTTGTTGTGGTATATCTTGCATTGTATATGGAACATGCATATCTTATCTTTTACAGCACATTTTAGTGCCTTCTTTTTTTCAAACAAAAACTGGAGATAAGGATTTCTAATTTGGTCAATCAATAATTGGGAGAGCACATCTACCATTGAAACTTGTAGGATGATATCCGCAAATATTCAATGTGCATGACTACCAAAACCTGGCTATTTCTTTTTGCACATTTAATGGACTTGTTCGTTAGCTTAATATCAAAAATGTATTAGATGTCATGACTTACTAATCTTTTTTTCTTGTTTAAATAAATACAATCTAAGCTTTGGTGGTATAAGTTTGGAGAGTTATTTTTTTCATTACGATGCATAAAAAAATGGTTGAATTTAAACGATGTATCAGATTAAACTTATATAAAAAGCCCAGTAGAAAACTAGTTCCAATAACATATATTTTTTTTAAATTTTGACCATGGAGTTTTCAAAATATAAAATTTATCCTACATTTTACCAATATAGAAAAAAAAATCCTAGCAAAATTAGGGCATAAAAATGTTTTCAAAATAAAGAATAAATCCATAACTTAGAGCTAATCTAAAAGTTCTTATGGTTTTCAAATTTGAGTGCAATAAAATTTCTAAATAAATGTTGCTTGCTGCGTTTCAGGTTACTTAGATGGAGAAATACCTTGTTGGTATCGTCCTTATAAATTTAAGAGCTAAAATCAATCGACTAAGTATGGTTTGAAACATCAACAAAGATGGATTCATGACATTAGATATACAAGCATACCTTTTATTGGGATCCTTTTATATTTAATGTAGTATTTTTTTTCATGCATCTCTTTGCCTCGCAATTTTAACATTGCGGTTTCTTGCAATTTTCTTTCCGTTAAGAACAACTTTACCCTTTCTTGAATGACCCTGAGTCATTAGATCAGCATTTTGATGCTTCATCTTATAATTCTCATGTTTTTTCCTTTTGAGCTCACCGTCAGAATTTCAATAATCAACCAATTTTTCTCGGGCAATCTTGAAAGAGCTTTATTATGCTTGTAAGAAATTCACAAGAAAATGGACTCGGAAGGTGTTGAAAATCTCAACTTGTTAAGATATTAATTGAACTGCATGCTCTCTCATTGTCCATAAGATTATCACACAAATCTGCATTGGAGAGATGTTTGTCCAAATTTCCAAATTGCTTATCAGCGGCCTTCGTAAGACCCTTTCTCTTGGCACATTGAGAAATGGAACCTATAGTACTTTACGTGCTCAAGGATTCATTTGCATTAAACTCGTCGTTAGATCCCTTTTATTTTTTGTATGCTGATATCTTTTTTGTTGTACTTGATTTCAAGGGAAGGTGTTAATTTTGGTTCATGTCTTGAACTTGTGTTTGATTCGAGAATGATCCAATAGGAATACAATCTAACAATACCAAACCTGTTTATTAGACGGGTCTAAAATCCCAACTTGTAACTGACTTGACTAAATCTGAACCCAACCTCCCTCAAAAAAAAAAAAATGCACGTAGTCTGTCCTAAACCAGCGTGAAATTAATATAATTATGTGAACTGGAAACGGCAATTTAGAAAGGATGAAAGAAAATATAACTTCAATTGAGTTTTTTCTTTTAAAAAAATAGTCAAGTCATTTCATTTGGGTTGCTACATGAATCTATTTTTTGAGTCACTTGAGGGAATTCTAGTGCAGCCAAATCTTAATCCTTATTTTACACTATTAATTTTTTTAAATGGCTTATTATGACGTTATTTTTGAATTTTAATGCAATGACAGTAATTGAGTAAACAAGAATTGACACACAACAATTGTAATATCTTAAATTAAAAAATGAAGAACTAACTATTTTAGTTATTGAATTTTCACTTGTACAATTTACATTTCTTCTTCATTTTTTCTATTTGAATAATTCAAAGCTCATCTCATAGAAATCATTAGACATTTTAGCAAATGCATAGTTTCATTAATTTCTTCATCCTGAAATGCATTCTCAAAATATTTTAAATTGCTTATTATGACATTATTTTTTAAATTTTCTGCAATTGCATTAATTGAGTAAACAAGAATTGACACACAACAATTGTAATATCTTAAAACAACAATTTGAAGAACTAATTATTTTGTTATTGAATTTTGACTTGTACAATTTACATTTCTTCGTCCATTTTTATATTTGAATATTTCAAACCTCATCTCTTGGAATCATTGGACATTTTAGCAAATGCATAGTTTCATTAATTTCTTCATCTTGAAAAACTTTTCCCATAATTAAAACATATCACAACAGCCAAAAATTAAATTGGTAAATGCTAGAACAGTATTCATAGATTTCATTGATTCAATTGCCAGACGAATCCAGTTCTTGAAAATTGGTTAACAAATCAGATAAATAGTTCATTGGATAAGACCACTATAGCAAAGAGAAGAAACGAACTTTGTGCAAAGGGATTACTTAATGAAGTTTTTAAATCTCAAATGAAAGTTACAGAATTAATCCAGATGCAAAAAAGCCCATTGCTGATTAAAGGTTTTCTTGGAAAGCAATTGTATGATCCATACGGATTGTATGATGATTTATAAGAATGCGTACTAGAAGACACTCTTAATAAATAGACAGCATAAATTTCCATGAAAACTTATGACGATTAGACTTCCCATTTGAAATATGTTGCAATCTCTGAAATAGGCTGAAATCCATTATAATATATGGTGCCATTTTTTTACTCGGAATTTTATTTAAAAACAAATCTATAGTATATCAATTTTCATTCGCAATCTGACTTAATTTGGATCCGAGTCTACTCTATTATCCCATGAAAGATTGTATACTTTGAATTCAACTTTTTGCAGAAACAGATACTTCTGATCATGGATGATTATTATTTTTTAGAAAATTTCATTAGATGAAATGTAATCTTATGGTCTATGCTAGAGAGGAATCTTGAAAGCTGATCATTCGTTGGAAAAGTAAACAGGCAACCGTTATACAAGATCTGGGATTCTTTTAAAAAAAAATTACTTTCTATTTACACCGCAGTTTGTTTCTTCTTTCTATAACTTTCAAATTATTTTGAATTTGTCCTAATGGGTCCCTAAATTTGGGACGTTGAAGGGACATGCTGCACCTACTTGTATTAGTTCAATATTGAGATCATATTGATGTATTTATCTTGCGTTGGTTTAATCACTTTTTGAATGTAGGCACCTGCCACGTGGATTTTTAAAGTCCCTTGATTAAGGGGATGTTTGGCTACAAGTTGCATTTAGTAATTCCTTTAAATTTTAATATAGTAAATTGTGGCAGTGTTTAATTTTTAACATTGTTTTGAATTCTATATGTTGAATTCGACTAGATAAAATGACTCAATTCTGATAAATTATTGGGCAAATGCTGCAGTTTTAACTTGACTCCAAAATCTCGGATACAATCAAAGCTTTTTTTCTTGTTCTGCCACTCTTTCTCTTCTGCCTTTCCTCTAGTATCCATCTGATTTGATTTTGCTTTCCATTGTGTCTGGTCCTTTGAGATTCACATAACCCAGATGTTCTCCTTCACATCAAACGTGACATGGTTGTCACTATTCTCATTGCAATTCTCCCTTATCTCCCTTGTTTCTGTTTTCATTCTTGTCTCATAGTGTATTGCACCATTTATTTTTATTCTGTCTTCCCAAAGGGAAGAGGTGCTACAAATGTAAATTAAATCCATGGAATCCCCGTATTGAGCAAATCTGAGAATTTAAGTTCTTCGAATTTTTTACGTAAACCCTGATCACATTCTGCTACAATACTGCCCCGATCTTGCTGTCTCATTTGAATTATATATGTTTGAAGCTTGTTGTTATTGCTCTATTCACAGGAAGCATGTTGTCTTTGGAAAGCTTATCCTGGGACATGAAGTTTTGAGAAAGATGGAGCGAGTAGATGTTGATGATAGTAGGCCGGTTTTTCCAGTAAAGATAGTTGATTGTGGTGAATTTGATGATGAAAAATTCAAAGGAGCACTTGCTGCTGAAAATGGTAACTTTAGTAATGACATCTTAACTTTCATTTGTTATGCTTAATTTATTTTTATTGCTCGTTAATATTTTTAACCATGAATAGCTTCTAGTTTTTTTTTTTTTGAATATTTTTTTTATTGTTTTTGTTTTATGTCACTTGTCACTGAGTAGTGAGCATTTACTTGGCTGATCATACTTAGAGATTCCTTTATGTGAACTATTTTATTTTTTATTGTAATTAAATTGTTTGGTGAAATTTTACCTGAACGACCAATACTCACCAGACAAAAAGAAGGGCAAGTCCAAGTTGGGCAAGGATGTATCTTCTGATGGCAATACCGACGAGGGAAGGCGGAAAAGGAAGCGTAAAAAAGCTAACAAAGGGAGAAAAAGAAGGAAAAGAAGAAGATACTATTCTTCGGATTCTGACAGTTCATCTGATTCGGACACTGAACTTTCCGATACTGATAGCGAGACAAGTTCTTACTCTTCTTCGAGTGATACTACTAGTTCAAGTGATGAGAGGTATAGGAGAAGGAAAAAACATTCAAGGCGTGACAAGTACAAGCGGGCAAAAAGAAAAAGAGATAAGAAACGAGAGAAGAGACGGAGAAGACGCACCAAAAGATCAAGGCACAAGTCAAGAAGGTTATTTGTGATTTTTCATTTTTATTTTATCATTGTTTCCCTTTTTTGTAATTTTATTTAAAATTGTGACCAATTTGGTTGATGATCTTGCCTTTGATGATCTTACTTTTTTACATGCGAAAAGCATTTTAGGCTAAAATTAATTTCTAGGATTCCCTTTCCTTCAAAGTAATTACATTAGTTTGACAAGGACTTTGTAATTTTATGGGTTTGGTATATTTTTCGTTGTAATAACATTCTTACATTTTGTACTGTGTAGATTCCTAGAAGTACATTGTTTTTACCGTGGTCCAAATGTTTTGATATGTTGCACTCCTAATTTCGTTCTAAACTTATTGTGTGAGGACTTTCATTAACCTGCTGTAAGATGTGATCTCTAGTTCTTCTATGTACATTTGTATGGGAAACTTGATTCTATATGCATTTGTTTTTTGCTTGTTATTTTTTTTTAAGATATGAATTCACTATCAGTTGAAATGTGAATAACCGATGCCATCATTTCTTTCTTCCTTTTTGAGAATGATGAATTGCTGTTAAGTGAAATGATTGTAATCAACCTACCTGAGCGGATGAAGGTTTGTGAATTAGGGATGTGATAACGACGCACTGAACTAACATTCAAATTTATGACGAGAGAAATTGATGTGGCTCACATATAACACTCAATAGTTGGCCAATTCTGGATTTTACTATGTGATCTAGTTGATGAATTCACCTATGGGTTGATATTTTATAAATTATTTACGGTCAACCTCGTTTGACAGCACTGTTTATTATTATGAAATTTTGCATATGAATTCTATAATATATTTGATTTTTTCTGCAACTCTTACATTCAATAAGTTTAAACTAGTTTTGTTGGCTATAGGTATTCAGACAATGACACTGAAACAGAGAGCTCTAGTGAGACGAGTTCCAAGGAAGGTGGAGATAACAGACATGGACGGGTGCGGAAGTCTCATTTGCCATCTCATAGTTCAGGTATGATTATTATACTTATATTTTTTATCGGCTGAATTCTTAGTATATGCGCCATTCATATGACTGAACAAATTATGGAGAAGAGTGATATGATTACCAAATTTATTTAGCTTATGCATATATATTTTCATTAAATTTCTTATTTAAAATTTCGAGGTCTGTATTACAGTTATGTTCATTTCATATCTGATAGTGGTAAAATCAATAACTCTTTGTGATATCCCTATTTCAAATTTGCATAATTTTGTTTGATAATGCAATGGAGTGTTGTTAGGTATTGAATTGTAGCAACTCACAAAGCCCGGGTGATACAAGTTGCATCAGCATCACAGCTTATTGAATATGATTTGAGTTTGATTTTTCTCTTTTTTTTTTTTTTTTTTTTTTTTTTTTTTTTTGGTAAGAGGCATGCGGTCAGGTGCTAAATCACCACCTAGTACTTTTTTTTTAGGCATTCTGTTCTTTTCTTTTTCATCTTGGTGTTGCACTTCTAATTTTTTCATTATTTTAGTTGATGTGAATATATTTCTCTTACCAATGTTGCATACAGCTGGGAAAGCGATTGTTCATGGATCCCAGTTTGTTAATTCTAACTTACGATACTTTTGTGCTTAGGGTATTGCACTTATATTTATCTTTAGGCCTGAAATTCTTTAATATAGTATATCATTTTTAAGTTGGCAAGGTTCTTATGCCTTCTTTTGCTCTTTTTGTAAATTTTTATCACCTGGTTTTCATTAAATATCAATATCATGCTAGTTTTGTAAAAATTTGGTGCTCCTAAATCTTTCTTTCCTATTGTAGTTTGACTAAAATATTTTCAAATATCCGGCATGCTTTAAGGTCAAATTTTTCTTTAAACCCATTAATTTGGAGCCTGCTAAAAGTCATAGCAATATCCTTTTTGGCTTTGCTTTTGTGGTTTTCGTTGAATTTTATAATTCTTTTCTTTATGCTTGTGTTATGCCAATACTAATAGTAATTTAGTCATCTGTCTCCTAAGGGCAATTTAATTTTTTATTTTACTATTAATTTTTTATATAAATAGGGCTAATATGTGTAGGGTTAGGGTTTTGTAGAAAATTGTTATCTTAAGTCTTAGAACTTGGGTTTTGGGAGAGATTTCCTACCTATTAAATTATAGTATTTGGGAGAGTTCGCTTACCCCTCGAATTGTAGGTGCTTACCTTTATGAATTCATGTTGAGTTGTTTGTTTGATGTTTTTGCAATAGAATATTTATTTGCCCTAATTTCTGTTAGGAATTGTACCAAGCTGTATCAATGCTCTCGATTTTCGGGGAACCAAGAAAAGACCTTGACACAAATTAAGAAAGGATTGTGGCATACTAGCTCGAGAAGACCGACAGGATCATGTACATACAAACGCGATAGGAACTAGCTGGGGCAGCCGAGTTTGCTATGTTTAGGGATCACGACGTACAAGGCCAATGATTTGGAAAGATTGCTTTGTACAGGGAAGCAAACCATGGGACTGCAGCGTACAATGACTCAATCGACTTGTGATACAGTTGCGATTGGACAACAAGATCACCTTCTTGACCTGATATTGTGAAACAATCACGATCTGAGCAAGCTGGGAGGCCAATGAAGGGATCATGACACAAGAATTGGGAGGGCTGATTGGATTGCGACATACAACCACTTCCTTCATGATACAATAACGATTGAGGAAGTTATGAAGTCCTTCATGATCGCATATCGCGAAAAATTGCGATTGCTAGAAGCAGCGGTGAGATCGGTAGGCCTTAGGGCATACGCCGAGATCTAACAACAATAGTGCTCTACGATAGCTGAGAAGCGTGATTATATCTATCCGAAGTTAGACTTGCTAAGATTTTAGAGAAATGATAGTAAGGAAAGTTGATGCCTTGGAAGAGAGATTGGACGGAGAAGTGGGGCAACTTAAATCCGGGATAGAGGAAAATTTTTCTTCGGTTAACAATCATTTCGAGAACTTGGAGGAGATGATAGAGAAGCTTGTTGAGATGCAATTCAAGACTCAACTAACGAATCAACTTGCAAACCCTAACCAAGGGTTGATAGGAGAATCCTTTACTTGATCGAAACAGAAAGTGGTCGAATGTGAGGAACATAAGGATGAAAGCATCCACTATTAAGAACTCTCCCTAGGACTTTGATGGGTGGTAGATTAGAAATTTTCGATGGAAGGGGTTGGGCCGAAGCATAGAGAAGGGGTTTTGCAAAGGGTTGGGAGGAGCATGAAGAAGGAATGAGAGAAACTATGGAGGGAGTTTCATGCTAGATGCATGTGGGGAACACAGGAGGAAGGGGAAGTCAGGATGGTTATGCCAGGGTTAGGATGTTGAAGATGTCGATCTTTGAGGGGAAGATGCACATGGGTTGGTGTATTGGATGGAGTGGTGAATTGACTAAATGACGAGGAGAAGCTCAGCTCATGGTGTTAGGGTTATGTTTGGAGGGGAAAACCCTAGCATAATTTCATCGGGGGGAGGGTATTTACCTGATCTATTCATGTGAGGAATTTAAGTATTGTCTGTTGAAATGTTTTTGAGCCATATGAGAAGGAGACCTACACTAGCAATTTTATATCGTGTATTAGGAGGGGATTGTTATGAAATATATGGAGAGATTCAAGCTATTGCTGGGATAGTTCATTGGGATTTTTGAAGCGCGATTGGAGGGAAACTTCATGAATGACCTAAAGCCCGACATATTGGCAACTCTCCGACTATTGAGATTGCGGGGATTGAGGGAGACGATGAAGCTCGCCCAGATGGTGGAAGACAAGAACCAAATGACGAAGACTAACAAAAGCTACACCATGAGAGGATTTTACAAGAGACCTTGATATCAATGACTCAAACAGTGTCATTTCAGAAGGAGGCATAAAAAAAGGAATAATTGGGCTGGCCATGTGGTCAATTTCAAGCGGCTCAAAGAGGCAGAAATTCAGGACAAAAGAGCAAATGAATTATGTTTTCGATGTGATGAGAAATATGCTTAGACACTAGTGCAAGGATCTTGCGCTCTGAATCCTTTTAGTTTGTGAGGGGGAGGAGACATATGGTGAGGAGTCAGAGGAAGAAGCGGTGGAGGGAGAGGAGCATTTGCACATGGATGTAGCTGATGTATTCTTCAACTCTGCGGTGAGATTTACTCCAAATCACACCATGAAGGTTAGGATAAATCGGGGAGCAGCCGGTGGTGGTGTTGGTGGAGGGGACAAATTGTGCAACCAAAAGGTGAGGGGACATATCAGGGTGGCCACTCACAATATCAGCTCAAATCAGGCAGTGGACTAGCTAGAGTTGAAGTTGGTAGATACAGAAAGCTTTGGGGTCATGATGGGGATAGGGAAGGTGGAGAAAAGCCGAGTAATTTGTAGGGAGCTTTCTTCCCTCAGACTTAGGAAGCACTAATGTGATTCTGAAGATAATGTTACTAGAGAAGATTAGAGAGATGAGAGTGGATTGAAAACCTTTCATTATGGAGATTAGGGTGGACGGGAGGAATGTGGTGCTCTGCGGTGACTAGCTTGAGCAAGATTTTGGTGTCGATGAATCCATCGAAGGTGGCAACTATTTTGGAGGGGTCACTACGTAAGACTTGAATGGAGTCGAGAATGTTTATGGCTTTTACATGATACTATCCAGAGTTCGTGCTGTAATTTGATTGTGTGGCCGTGGACGAAGAAATTGAAGAAGGATAACTTTTAGTGGGGAAAGTGACAACCCAGACTTCTGAGAAGTTAAAGAAGGCCATGACGAGAACCATACATAAGCGAGTTAATGAGTGCGAGCCAAATTATTTGATTCAACTATAATTTTTTTCTCCCACTTTGAGGACAATGTCTTTTTGGGAGGGTTGTATTGTTACGTTGGTAGCTAAGGGCAATTTAGTCCTTTGTGTGGCTAAGGGCAATTTAGACTTTTGTTATTTATTATTGTTTAGTATAAATAAGGCTAATATGTTTAGGGTTGGGGTTGGGGTTATGCAGAAGATTGTTGTCTTGATTCTTAGGGTTAAGGTTTTGAGGAGATTTTCTATCTCTTGAATTGTAGGTACTTATTTTTATGTATTTGAGTTGAGTTGTTTGATGTTCTTGTAATAAAATATTTATTTGCCCTAATTCTCTGCCAAGAAACGTACCTGCTGACAAAGTTTATTGTCACGAAAGCTCTGTTGTGGGCCCAAATGTTAGCTGCATTAATGGATCTAATAGCTCAGGAAAATCTTTGAATCATGATGATTCTGTTTTATCAGACCCAAATCGAACATAGCTTGCCTCACGCACCTCTCTTGTTGCCATTATGTTTTAACTTTTTATTCTTTAACTGTGATCTGGTAATTGTTGAACTATTTTATGATTTTGAGGTTTATAATTAAGTTTTGATTAATTGGTATTAAAGATTTCAGAGATTTTTTATCATGCAAGTAAATCTATTTGAACTTGGTCATTTTGAAACAATTGACTGAGTTCTAATTAAGTATTGATTAATTTAATGGTTCACTAATTTTTTTATGAAAGGTTAAATTATTTAATAGTAATTAAATTGTGTAAATTTTTGTTGCAAGGCCATGGAACCATTCTTGCCAAATTTCAAGGTGATCGAACTATTTTTAGCCAAGCATGTAGACGACCACATTTCTCTCGTTAGAATACATTTTGTATACTCTTTTTTATGCAAGACCATGGTATTCATTGACATGCTATCGTTTCATAAGCTCAAATTACTCGTGTCATATTTTGAGTCAATTATCTAGTATTTTCTGTGTTTTATAGGATAGTATGGCTCAACATGCATTAGCTCATATGGCTTGTTAGGTGACTTAATTTAGGCTCATTTGTTAAGAAATTGAGTTGGTCTCAAAAAGGGTACATAGTATTTCATGCAACAACATATTATTAGCTCATTTTATAAATCTTAGAAACGTCTCAATCAACATTTGCATATTAGATTTCAAAGTCGAAGTGGTAATCTGTCCCTTATAGTATTTATTGTTGTCCTTGTCAATTGACTCAATATTGATTCATGCGGTAAAATTAAAGAGTGAACTTCAGTTGGGTACATGCACCCGTTTTGGTAAATGCGCTAGAAATAACAGTTTGATAACGTTCCATTCATTTTAATAAATGCTTTGAGCAGAAACAATTGCTTGATAAAAGCTATGCTTAAAGAAAGTCAATTTTATCCAACTCTTGGAAACTTATATTCTAAATTTTATGATTTTTTAAAAGATATACAATGATAATCACAAATGTATTCTCATGCAGTTGATAAGCAGGAGTATCCAACACTAACATGCGAAAAAGTCGACGTGAGAAGATGCAAGTTTTGATCCGTTCCTAAGGGGCTGACAGCATGGACCCATATGCGAGTTGTTTTTGGTTCATTTAATTTATTTAAGGATAAATTTGTTTTTCTAAATGTGACATTCTTATCTATTCCAAAAGTTTAGGTTAAAATAATTAGTTGGTCATTGTATTTAGGATGTAGATAGCTAGAATTTATGAAAGTTGATTAGGAATTTTGATTTTGAGGAGATATTATCTCATTGATTAAGACACTCCAAACTTTATATTTTTTACGTAGACATCCTCTTCCTCAGTTAACTAGAAGTTAGTTTAGAATTTTAAATTTGAAGGAGTTATTTTCTTGTTGTTGCTTGAAATTCTACAGTACTTGATAATCGGATTGGAATCCTCACTGTCTGTCTCTGTGTCTCTCTTTCACTGCTTCCCTTCATTCTTTTCATATCATCAACTATATGAGCAGGCTTTCCACCATAATTTAGATTTCAAACCCTCGTTGTCTGTTCAATTGCCCTCTCCCATAATTTTAAAGTATGACGCATCAACTCAATACCTCTATAATTTGCACACTCTTGTGCATCCATTTTATTTTTAAAAGTGGGGTCAAAATACTCTTCATTCACTCCTCAGGCATCTTTGTAGTTTTTAAAAGAATATTAAAGAGTTTTGGAAGCCAAGAAACTCCCAAATCTCTTAAAAATTTCCACACTTCAATTGGGATATACACTTCAATTGGGATATCATCAGTCAATTGGGATATCATCAGGTTCTACAGATTTACCACCATTGATTTTCTTTAAAGCCTCCTAAACTTCTTTTTTACTAATGTGACGGTAAAAATGAATTGTTTTGTTATTATTATTAATGATATTGAGATCAGTAAAGTATATCGTATTTTCAGAAACATTGGAGAAACACACAAGCATCAAATGAAAATTTGCAAATAGTGACAATAGAATAGTGTTCTATCAACATCATCCAAATAGCACAAATCCTGACCGTACAGTCGAAACTTGCCAGCTAAGTAATCTTTTTAATAATGCCATGGGCTATCCCTAAATTTTTTGAAACTGGATTTTCTCTGCGGTGAATCGCATGCGTAGTCTATTATATGCAGTTTGGGATGAATTCTCTGTTTATATACTGTTCTGTGATGAATAATCAGAAACCTAAAATTTAAATTTCCATATATTTGTTGAAGCAAAAAGTGCTTGCTTTAACTCAACTTATATTTAACTCATTTGGGTTATTTTTTCAAAAGAGGTTTGTCCAAAACATACATGCATACATTCATTTGTATGTGTATGTATACATACACACATGGATCGTTTATTTAAAGTTTATTAGATTTTATTTTTTAGAATTTTTGCGTGTGATTCATGAAGATTATGACCTTGATGTTGAGATGAACATGATTTTTGTAGAATTTATGCCTAATGATATGGTTATGGTTCTTTTAAATTTTAAAAAAAAAATTCGTCAGGACCCTTTTAAAACGTTTAATTCCAGAAAGGCGAGAATTTTTAAGTTTTATCCGACATTGGAACAAATGTCTATAACTTAGATATTTTTGTGAACTCTGGCATAAACTTGATTTTTCAACGTGTACAATTTGATCTTATTTAATGACTCTGCGGGAAATTGACTAAGTTTTTTTTATTATACTCTTCTCGATCTTCATTGTGAGTCCACCTCTAATCTTCAACTATATCTTTTATGTAAGTTGTTTTGGAAGCTATGTTAGAAGATGAGATTGTAATTGGGGATGTAAACGAGTTGACTTGAGAGCTTGAGCTTGCTTAATTTTATTGAGTTTGAGCTTAAGTCTATCAGTTTGAGCCGGTTTGTTTACTATAAAAGAGAGAATGATATTAATTTAAGCTAGCTTTATAATAAGATGACAAATAGATTGCACAATTAGGATATAAATAATGCAAAATCATGTAATATATAATACAAAATATTATTTTTTTAAATACTTTTGATACCTTTCAGATAAATTCTTGATATTTAATTTATTTTGAGTATATTTTATACTAATATATTTTTTTTAAACGAGCTTGCTCACGAGCTAATGAGTCGAGTCGGGGCTGGCTTGATCTTGGCTTGTTAGCTCATCTAGCTCAGTTCTCAAGCCACTTATCGAGCCGAGCTTGAGCCGGCTCATGAGTTTGCTCGACTCACTTACACCCCTAGATTGTATCCATTGTTGATGGTGGATGTTACGTTGCTTATATATAATTGACTATGGTGTTTCATGAGTTATCAGAGGATGCTCAAACTTATGCCCATATTTGTTTAATGAGTATCGAATGCTGAATTTAGCAATGCCACATTTCTCATAATTGGGCTGAATTTTTTTATAATATTCATTATTTCTCTAATTCAAAGCATTACATCAGCATTAATTTTTACTTGTTTTAAACCTTTTCTAATATTTGTTTTCTTTCATTATTTAGTTCATTTTACATGCTATTTATAGGCATGAAGATTATGACCTTTTCGTTGAGATGAACATGATTTTTGTAGAATTTAAGCCGGATGATATGGTTATGTTTTTTTCAAATAAAAATAATAATTTTTATCCGGACCCTTTTAAAATATTTAATTCCAGAAAGGCGAGAACATTTAAAACTTATGCAACATTGTAACAAATTTCTATAACTTGGATATTCTTGAGAACTCTGGCATACACTTAATTTTTCAATGTTTACAATTTGATCTTATTTAATGACTCTGCTGGCAATTGACTCAATTATTTTGATTCTACTCTTCTCGGTCTTCATTGTGAGTCTGCCTCTGATCTTCAGCTAGACCTTTTATGTAAGTTGTTTTTGGAGGCTATGCTGATGGTAAATGTTACGCTGGTTAGATTGAATTGACTATGTTGTTTCATGAGTTATCAGAGGATCATATTTGTTTGATGAGTATCAGAGGCTAAATTTCTCGTATTTGGGATGATTTGATTGTAATATTCATTATTTTTCTAATTTAAAGCATTACATCAAGCATTAATATTTTACTTGTTTTAAATCTTTTCTAAGATTTGGTTTTTTTCATTTGCTAGATTATTTTACGTTTTTTTATATTTGAAGGCATGTAATCATGTTAACTGACAATGTTTATAATGGTTGAGGAAGGTTTAGATAATTTATGTTGATGGCATAGTTGCAATTTTGTTTTTGGTCTGTTTTAATTCACACATAAGGTCGATGAGTTTATGTTGGGTTGGTGGCCTGGGGCTACCAAACTCTAATTCATAGGATTCAAAATTTTAGAGGTCAAGTAACTTAATGCGGGGCTTGGCATTATCATTTTGAAAAAGTTGTCAGAATTTTCCTTTGTTTATTAAAAAAAGAATAGAATAGGCGGTTGTGTGACTTGCCACATCTGTTGAGGTGCAAAATTTTATTTTCCAAAGCTAGGGCATGACCTGAACCCTTGCGGAGGTGCAATTTCTCTCTATATTTGTTGGATTTCAGAAGATGTACTGGACCTACTGGATCTGCTTACTTCTTGGTTCTATGGTCTGGCTTCTGAGATATGTGCTGGAATTGGGATGATTTTGAAATTTCAATTTGTGGGGAATATATTTTATTGTGGAATAAATTTATGCTTAGATGTGCCTACTTTATCTTTTAACATGGACTATGAGGAGAATATAAATAGTTCATTTGAGGTATGTAGTTTTTAAATTTTGATTCAAATAAATTTTTTTTCAATTTTAAGAATGCAACATGGATGTGCGATTCATTCTGAGTGTGGTACACATATTGGTACATCTTGTCTTGTACAACTTTTATGGTTTATTTAAGCTGTTTTCTATTTTGTTTTCTCATTTATGGTTTTCAGTCTGAATATTAAGTCAATCGTTTCCTTGAAAATGCTCCTATTTGCATTGCAGCTGAAAATCAGACCAACATAATCTCAGAGAAAGAAGTTACTACTATTCATCCAACACTTGAAGATTCCATTTTGAATCCTTCAGTGGATTTAGCTAAAGCCTCTAAAGAGAATGGGGAGCTGCGCATCAATGGCATCACAGAAGCAAAATCTGATAGAAGTGCAGATTTTCCGCCTGCAGTTGGTGACAAACATATCAAATCTAGGTATTTCGATATTTTCTGTCACCTTTTATGGTTTTTTGTAATCTAGAACCAGTGTTTTGTCTTACACTGATTAGCAGGAGCCTTAGCAGGAGTCCAAAGAAATCTATGAGCAAGAGCATGAGCATAAGTCCCAGAAGTCAAAGCAAAAGTCCACGTGAAATACCCAAGAGGTCCATTAGCAGGAGTCCTCCTGGAAGTCCCAGTAGAAGCCCGGGTCATGCATCTCAAAGAGCTTTTATCAGAAGTCCAGTTAGAAGTATAAGCGGAAGCTCTGATAGAAGCATCAGCAAAAGCCCGCATATGGTCATGAGCAGAAGCCCCGGCAGAGGCATCAGCAGAAGTCCTCCTAGAAGTGTCAGCAGAAGTTCGATCAGGAGAAGCATTAGCAGAAGTCCTATAAGGAGGAGCTTAAGTCGAAGTCCAGTTCGAAGGACCAAAAGTCCAGTTGCACGTAGCAGAAGTCCTCTAGAAGTTCGTCGTAGAAGCATTAGTAGAAGCCCTGCAAGGTCTCTGCCTAGAAGAAGTGATAGCAGGAGCTCTGGAAGGGCCCCTGCTCGATTGAGTGTAAGCAGAAGCCCTGTTATACATGAAAGGCACAGCATCAGCAGAAATTCATTGAGATCTGCACGGAGGAAGAGTATCAGTAGGAGCCCTGTGAAATCCTCTCATAGAGCTACTAGTAGAAGCCCATTGAAGGACACTCGTAGAAGCACAAGCAGAAGTCCTGCAAGATCAGCTGGGAGAGTCACAAGTCGAAGTCCAACAAGGCAGAGATCCCGAAGAAGTTTGACTAGAAGTCCTGCTAGGAGGAGTTTGTCAAGAAGTGCTTCCCTGGATGGATCACCCAAGCGCATCAGAAGAGGGAGAGGTTTCAGTCAGCGTTATTCTTATGCAAGGCGGTATCGCACCCCATCTCCAGACCGTTCCCCTGTCAGATTACATCGATATGGTGGAAGGAGTGAGAGGGATAGGTGATAAACCTTATTCGTAATAATTCTCGATGCATGCCACTTCTCTTTTTTTGTTAAATTACTTCATTTGCCATTTTTTGTGTTTCTTGATTAGATATTCAAGCTATAGAAGTTACCGTGATCGATCTCCGCCTAGGAGATATAGGACCCCTCTCAGGTACATTTGCGTTTTTTACTTTAAATCAGATTCTCCAAAAAGGATGAATCTGGCTGTTTCTTATTTGGATGCAAAATTGTTTTAGTAATGAAAATTGAATAACGTTCTTGGGAACGGCGGGAGGCATATATAATTTTAAGTTGCTGTCCTCCTTTCACGTTGATATTATATATGAAATCTGCATCGTTTGCTATTATCATTCACAGATATAGGGCTAGAAGAAGTCGAAGCATTTCGAGAAGCCCTATCGGTTACCGTGGCAGACCCAAAGGTGGATACAGTCGTAGCCCTATACGCAGTCGCTCACCCCCATCAGAGAGGCTCAGATCTCATGGTAACTTCCGGGATGCATCTCGTTCTGAGAAACAGAGATCAATTTCTCCAAGCAGGAGTCCCTCTGGATCACGGTCCAGGTCTAAATCGCGGTCCTCTCCTGATACTCCATCTCCTAAGCCAGGCAGCAAGGAGAAATCTATGTCTAGATCTCCGTCAAGCAGTCCTCGTGATGGGAAGAAAGGTTTGGTTTCTTATGGTGATGGCTCCCCTGATTCTGCCGGGCAGAAGTGAGGGCTTCAGGCATCTGTAGTAGTTTTTACTCTTTTTATGGAGAGAGAACGATTCCTGGATCCATTTAATGCTTGTTTAGTGCCTGTTGTTTCTAGGAAATCTATTTCTGGATTGGTCTGTCCTGACTAAATATGCTCTGTTACTGATCTGTATGTTGGTACTTTTTTGTTCGACTGTCTTCATATTTGTAGGATCTGCTTTTATAATTCTGGTGTTATTTCTACTCCAGGAGGTGGTAATGTTTCTAATGTTATTATTTAGATTTTTCTGATGCTATATGGAGAGGTAGTGATATTTTCTGGCGAAGGCAGATATGCTGTGGTTACTACTATGAAAATTCAAAATTGATTAAAAATGGAATTTTTAAACGAACCAGTATTTGTGAGTGGTCAAGCTACTCTTGGTGCTGTTTGTAGGTTTTTTACCCCTTCTTTTATTGATGTTATAACTTGTGGCAAATTGATACCTTTATTCCAAGTTAAGTTAAAGTGGTATGGATTTATTTTATTGGCTAGTCATTTTGTTTTGTATTTGTTCATTTGATTTGGAGCATCGAATTGCCTCATGTCATTTATGAGTGATATTTTGATCTTATATATTTTCTCAAGTTGGGCGGGGTACATTCATGCACTTCGCTTCATTTAAGTAAAAATACTTTTCATTGCTTTGTTTATAATTTAATTGCCATTAAATTCAATTTAGATTATCAAACGCAGAATCCTGATCATTTTAAAAATGGGATAAGATGACAAACATCTGAATAACCTGGTCTTGGACTTGTAGTTTTGCATTTAACAATCATATTTTCTGCAGTTTGTTAACATATTCTCCTTGTTTTTCAATATTTAAAATATATATATATATATATATATTATATATAAAAAAATTCAATAGCATCAAAGGCAATGATTTTCTTAGCATTCAATAGCATCAAAGGCAATGATTTTCTTAGCAAGGCATCATGATTTATTTGGTTTGATATAGAAAAAAAAATAGTTAATGTTCGCAAGAGATCTAAAATTATTACCTTTAAAAATCAGCGCACTTAATTTATGCTTGCAGTTTTAATACTATTAGGTGGATGTACATTTCATTTGATGGGGGAGACTCATCATTGTACAGCCGATTGTAGAATCGACTAGAGCATCTTTTTTTTTTGGCAAGACGACCGTCTTTTTGAGAGGTTGAGTTCAATTAGTAGTCGATAAATATTCTCCACTTGGTCATTCAATCTGGACATCATAACTACATTAGCCAACAACTATGAATATTGAATTTCTTTAGCAAAACTAACATCAAAGAGCTTATGTAATTTTTTTTTTTATGAATAGGTTCGACTAGAGTTGTTGCAACTAATCCCTTCTTTTATTTTTGTGGAGCTTTGGGATTAATAGCGTTTATGACAGGCTGCATTAATGAGAATTCTTGACATATTTGCCATCGATTAGTCGAATATATCTCGGCACCCAATTGTCCCTGAGAGTTGTAATCAAAGTCGACTTCATCTCAATATTTCATTATCCCAAAAAAGTGCAAAGTAACAGTCTCAGATTCAAAGAGACTATCCCACAAATAACCTGGAAGATGTGAGGATTTAGATTGTGACGAACGACAACCTCAGAATCCTAAAACGGGTTAGGACTTATATCGCACAACATGATTGTGCAAAAGCCTAAAGATAAGGTGATGATTTATGTCGCACTAGGCGGACAACCTCAAAATCCTATGAGTTATGTTGTCTAATTCTAATAAAAAACGTGCTGTTGTAGATCGTCACGTAATTGTAGATTGTTGCTGTATAGGGCTGCCCACAAAGTTAGCTCCAGGCTCCTCAGCAAAGTAGCAGTCTTAAATTCTAAGGTTTAACAGATTTTAATAACAAGTTTTAAGTTCAATCAGGGGGCTTAAAGTTGATTAGAGCGACAACAGTTAGGATCTCACGGTTCCCTCGTTCCATTATGTCTATTCTCTTTTAAATTTACTTAGCTTAAGCAAGTTGTTTAAACCCATTTAAACCGGAGAGATCTCGTTAGCAACTATGTGTTACCTCATCCGAGAGACTCGTAAATTCATAAGGAACTATTATAAAAATGTTGTTTTTGCTTTGGTTTTGAAAATCTTGTTAATTTTGAAAAAGGGGATGATTGATTTTGGAATGTTTGTTTTTTTTTTTTGTAGGTGAAGTGAGGTTTGCAATCAAACATGTATAATATTTTAAAGCAGAAGTAAATTGCAGTAAATGACAGTAATTAAATATCACTATAAAAGCACACTTGCCATCTTCTCGCTGCTCCCACTGAAAGATTAGAACTTGCAACATGTATATAATTTTGCATAAATTTAAATAAATTGCAAGAGTTGATGATGGTGTAGTTACCAAAACCTAAGTCATAACTTGGTAAGTCCTAAAGGTTTTAATAGTTGATTTTCTGAACAAAGAATAATAAACTCAGTTATTATTCAAAACATCCAAAAGGTCATAAAAGCGTTTGGGGAGCAATCCCTAACAACTTTTAAATTCCTTTTGAAGTGTTTCGAGTCTATTGGAACCTATTATATTGTTGAGTTGATCATCCCGAATTTTAAATTTTATTTCAATGAGTTAGTACACCTTATGCTAAGTAAACCTGATATTTCAATTATCTCGAGAGTGGGGTACTCAATTAATCAGTTAATATTTTACTTATGATTTATATAAGTAGATTCTCCTAGGGCAAGCTTAAGTCATTAAATATTTTGTGCCCATCACTAAAGTTGGGTCTATATAGTTTAAATGTGTTAATTATCAATTATGTTAACTTTTTTAAACTTCATTAAGTAAGTTTAAATATCAAGCCTAGCTCACCACTAAGCCCTTAACAATCTTCATGAGTTAATTTGCAATTATCAAAATTTTAATCTGTGAGATATATTCTTATTAAAAGTTCATATCATCATCAATTATGGACTTCAAATTAATGAATTATTATCTTCCTAACTTAAGCCAATAACTTTAGAATCACTTAATTTTAATTAACATCCAAATCTTGATAATTCATAAAATTACAATTTTACCCTTACCATAAAAAGATGGTAAATTAGTTTTAACCTTTTAACCCATTATGTTTCAAACATCCAAAAGAATTCATTATGATCAAAAGTTACCCATTTTAACTTAGTTAATCCTAAATTTTGATTAAGACACCAAAATCTAAAATTAGCACTTTGTACTCATCAAATATAATTCAAATGATTTTGAAATTTTTTGAGTACCCACTCATGGGTAAACTAAGGTATCAAATGAGAAAATGTGATTTTTTCAAAATTTTATTTAATTTAAATGATCATTTTAACTTAAAAAAGGACTTTCAATATTAATATATTTAACTAATCAAAGTGAGATTTTTATTCATGGGAAAAATTATTGGAGGTTCACCTAGGTTAGAGGACCACTTGGGCAAAATTTTATAATTTTTCAAGTTATATTTTAATTATTTTAATTATTTATTGATTTTAGTTTTTTAATGAAATAGAAAATATGTTTTAATTACAAAAATTACATTTCATATCTTTATTAAATCTCTCTAAGTCCAAGAAACTCAAAAAAATAAGTTTTTCATTTTTGTGTTTTTTAATTTATTTATTAGAATTGTTTTAATTGAAAATTAGAGAAAATACATTTTTAGCCTTTAAAAATTTCTATTTAACTTAAAAAATATTTTAAACCATTTTTTGTATTTTTGAAATTTTTAATATTTTAAAATTATTTTTAATTCAAAAAAAGGCTTAAAAATAAAGTATGTATTTAAAAATATTTTTTATTTTTCCTAAGTACTCCTGATCACAAGGAACTTAAAAAATCAGTTTTCACAATTTTCCTAATTATATTTAATTTATTAAAATTATTTTAATGCCCAAAATGCCATTTTATTTAGAAAATCAACTTTAGTTATTAAATTAAATCAAATAAATTTCAAATTTTTACTGTGAGGTAAAGTAAATGTTATTTATAGTGTGGAATTGATTTTACTAATTTTGAAATATAACAAATTTATTTTTAATTTTTATGAGTTTTTTAGGGTTAATTAACTATAGTGACTTATATAAATATTAAAATTTAATTTAAAATTTTTCAGAAGTTCTCTGACTATAAGGAGCCTATCAAAAAAAGTCTCATGATTTTTCTGATTTATGATTTAATTTATATAATTATTTTAAGCAAAATAACCATCTAAACTTAGAAATTAGGGTTACAAGTGTGGAGATACTTTCTGACTTTGGAAAATCACAAAATACCTCTATTGTCATAGGGAAAAAACCCCTAAAGTCCCAAGCCATTATGATTATTATACACTTAATTAAAATTAAAATATTGCAGAGGCTAATTAATTAATTAAAAACTAGAGACACACCAAATAATTCCTATTTTTATTGCACATTAATCTACTCTTTCACTGAGAAACAAAGCATTTTTATTTTATTTTAATGAATTTTCTACACCAAGTAATGAATTTTCTAAGATCTGGAATTAAAATAAATCAAAAACTTATTTTTCTAGTTATCCCAGTCAACGTCGCGTCAACCTAGGATTCTCTGAAGCTTCGCGTAGTGCTCTTACATTCAATTCTGCCATCTAACTCAGTAACCACATGACACGACTTTTTCGTTCCATCTATCCGTCTGGCGCGATCTGGACAGTCCAACCGATACACGTGCGATCCAACAACTCCCCGTCATCGTCCCCGATGGCCAAAAACTGTGAAACACACGACTCCAAACCCTAAGATGTCAGCCTAGTCTCAACCAATTCACTTTGGGTTTGTTCCTACACCTTCATCTGCTCAAGACAAATACATCTATACAACTACATGTGTATGAAATACAAGTTCTCTTCACAAAAGCCCAAGCTGAGCCAAAAATTAGGCTTGAGAGTTTATAACTTTGCCCAAGATGTGAGGCTTCGATTGGGTGCTTGTGGAAGCTTTAGTGGAGTATAACAAACCTCCTGGAAGTGCACTTTCCTTTGGTGAATGCTCCAAGTATGAGGTCGACCAACATGTTTTGCGGCCTTGGTCAAACAGTGGGTTGGAGGGCTTAAAGTGAAGGGATTTGAGTGGGAAACTTCTCCTTAAGCTCTGGTGAAGCTTAAGGATAAATCAATTTAATTTGGGGGTTGGTGGTGTTTGGTGGAATAATAGGAAAATGCCCTGGAATTGAGCTCCGATGGTGAGGAGAAGGGCTGGGAGATGGTTGGAGTGAACTCAGGGAAGGTTGGAGAAGCTCTGGTGAAAATTTGGCAGAGTCTCCCCAGAAGGTTAAGCACACACCTCCTTTGGCCGTGGAAGGTGGGGTTTAAATAGAGGAGCTTGAGGTGGTTGGTTGGGCCTCAATTTAGGTACTAAGGCTTGCTAAGGTGGAGGGTTGAGCGGTGCCAAGGATCAATTGGAGCTGGATACATTGGATGGGTGCAATGAGTTTGATTTAAGGTGGGGTGGCTCTCGGTTTTGAGGCTCTTCGGCGACTAGGCCGGCCGACTAGGCTAGAGGAGCGGCTCAGTTGGCTTAGGGTTCTCAGAAGTGGATTTAATGGTGATTAGCTTGGAGGTTTGATGCTTGATGACAAATCTCTCTTGGTTTGGCCAATTTTGGAAGGAGATCTTTTAATTTAGGGGACCCTTGGTCCATGTCTCAACTAGGTTGTGTTAGATGAATCTAGGTTGGTTCTTAGGGTCCAAATGTTGGTTGTGGTGGGCTTGAGTTGGTCAATTTGGCTAGGTTTGGTCACATGCATGGCTTGGGTTCAACGTTTGGGTTTTGGGTAAACTTGAGTCTAGGTCGCACTTGGGCTAGGATTTGGGTGAAGTGATTAATCAATTTGGCTTTGATAATTGTCACGAAGGGTTTGGAAAAGGAATTGAGTGATTTTAAATTGATTTGGGGGTTCAATTTGATGGAATTTGGTTCATGGTCAATTTTCAGGCATTTGGGTTAGACTTGGGTTTGAAATGGGCTAGGGTTTTGATATGGTTCAATTTGATCTAAGAGATTGTCATTAAGAATTTTGCATATCAATAGGGTGGAAATTTTAGAGTTATGAGGTTCAATTTGGGAGGTTTAAGCTTTCAGTAAAAATTGGGGGTTTTGTCTTAAGTTGGATTTGGGTGAGCTTTGAGTTCAAATTTGGCTGTTCAAACTAATTTGGGGAAGTGTTATGAAGAATTTTTAATTAAAATTTGGGGAAATTGATTTGATCATGGGGTTCACTTTAGGGAAGTTGAGGGTATGGCTAAATTGTGGATTTTGGATTGGGTTTGTAATTGGGCTTGAAATTGAGTTTAAGTGGGCATGCATTTGGTTTAAATTGAGATTGAGATAATGAGAATTTGAGTATGGACTTGAAATTGGGGGAGATTAAAATCAATTTTGTGGAAATTGTGAGTGAATTGGGGAATTTGAGCCTTCAAGGGAAATTTGGGGTTTTTTTTTTTGTCAAAATGGGTCAATTTGGTCAAATTAGGCTCAATGGAGTGATTCAAATTGATATTGGGGACGCTTGAAGTGATTCTTGAAATTTTGGGAATTTTTGGAATATGAAGGACATTTTGGTAATTTTGGGAATTAAAAAGATTGATGTATTTTGGTCAATTTGAGTGATTAGGAGTGATTTGAAATGATTTTTTGAAGAGATTTTGAGAATTTGGATAATTTTGGGAGTTTTTTTTGGAAAATTTTGGGTTTAGGGCAATTTGGTAATTTGGTGAAATTTGGGGCCAAAGAGGGTCAAAATTGGAAATTTGACAATGTTGGGATCGATTGAGGATGTTAATTATGAAGCCACCCTATTTGAGCCATAGGACCGAGGGATCTTTCATTTTGGATCCTTCAAGTGTTGGTCTTAGCCAAACCATAGACTAGGGCTAATGGTTTAGAGGACCATCCATATGAGTTTCCAATAGAGTAGGGGATCAATGCTAGGTATGTTTGGTAAAGAATTTTGGTTGTGAGTGCAAGTGAAAGTGTGTGTGTGCAGGACTGACTAATACCACACCACCCAGGGCAAACCCTAAGGCCAAACGATCCTATGGGGACTTCTCTTGAGCTCCCCTGGTTCCACCTACTAAGTGCTAAAGGTTATATGTGGAACTTCAAGATGAGCAAATAAGAGTTTAGAATTCCTATTGGTGAGGGTACCATTACTAGTCTTCTAGTAATAGTCAACAGAAAAGTACTATGGCTAGAATCTAGGCTCATAAAGAAGAAACTAGACATCAACCAAAAGTGAGTTCAACATACATCTACGACAAAAAAAAAATCAGCTATGATAATAAATTATCTTCTCCTTCTCCCTAGAAATTGATAAAACAATCACATAATAAGCTGTTATATGCTCTTCAGAAAATCTGAACAATGGCCTTGAAGTTCGAATGATGTGCAAGTTCCCCAAATTCATCTTCTCATAAATGCTCTTAAACAAAATGTTCATTTAAATCCCAACGATTTATTAAGATATTGCCTATTTGCAAATTCTATATCAATGCGGTGATCATGATTACATCATTAAATGGGTTCTCCTTTGCGAGCAGATTATCAATCGATTGCGGAGTCAACATTGGTTTTAAAAAGGGACTTGCCAACTTCATATTACCTGATCGGAATTTGCGAAAATTTTATGGCTCCACCACCAAGCATTAAAGAGACCGCCCTTGCTAGATATATATATAATATTTTTAGGACACGCAGGTGGCCACTGGGCTTCATCCGCAAAGGCCCATAGAAATATTTTTTTTTTGTTGTGAATGGTTTCAGTAACCTTGGCCATAAGGACTCTTTGTGGTGACACCTGGTAAGGCCAAACTCGAGGTGCCAACCATCTATCCAACCTTCTACCAACTCACTTATCTTCAAATTAAACTAGTCCTCTGAATATACATTTTTTATTCTTCTCAGTTCTAATCTTAATTTTAGCTCGATAAATTGAAGCCATTTTCTCGACGAGACCAAGCAAAAATCTATCTCTGTTGGTGCTACCAATTTTTTTTTTTTCTCACTATATAAGTGAGATAGTGAGTTGTATTTCTTATAAAAATATGATTATTGGTGAGCTCCAATATTTTGGAAACAAAACTTGAAAGGGACAACTCTCTCTTTTTGCTTGTTAGGATAAAACTATTTTTCATAACTTTCAAATAAGTTTAAATTGAACTTGCTAATCTAAATTTTTAGGTTAGGATTGACAATTGTAGGATAGAAATTTTCCTTGGAATTCATCACGTTTTCTGTGGGAACGACAATCAAACTCTAATGCAAGTATTGTTGATATGTCAAATATACTTGCGTGAGTCAAGTGCTTTGCAACACTTATGTGTGTCGGATTTGTCTTGTATGGGCAGGTTGATTTTTAGAAAAAACGGCCGTATTCCATGAGTCTGACAAATGTTTTGCTTGTGATCGTTGGGAGCCAGCCGTGAGATTCATCTGATACACTGATTATTGAGATCAAAGTTAAATAAAACAGGCGATGTCTTGTCCATTCAATTTAAAAATCACATTTTCATTTTTTTTGTGTGTGTAAAGCTGGGAAAAATGATTGGCCATGTATGCTCACAAGTGGGGGCCACTGCAATCCGTTCAGATCTCAGCACAATTTTCTCCTTACCCGCTACTGCTCCTTTTTTAAAATATCGAGTTGTCTATCTCTTTTTTGGGGCGAATTTTGAGGGTAATATCAAGTTGTCCGAGTAGGCCCCAATTCCCTCGAGTTGTCTATCTCTTTGTTGGGGCGAATTTTGAGGGTAATATCAAGTTGTCCGAGCAGGCCCCAATTCCCAAAAATCTCGCCCATCAATTTAAGCGAAACAATGAGAAGTGGCCTGTAGTAAAATTAAGACTGCCATTGCCCTATCCTCTCTACATTCATATTCAAATCTTAGCCCTGCAATGGATGCCTTCTTCTCAACCTCCTTAATGTGCTCCACCTCCACTACTCATGTCCGACACTCTAGGAGCCGGAATATGATCCGCCCGATAAATCCATTTGCTCCAACAGTCATTTCCGCCGTCAAGAAACAAGAGAAGCCACAAAGTGGGACTAGGACGAGCACCAAACGCCGTTCTGATGGTAATTCTGGATCATCGTCTCCGCTGCAGCAGCCTCTTCGCGCCCGAGAGCCATCATCCGCAGCCGCTGCCTTTTGCATCGCATTGGACAACCTCATCAACAACTTCATCGACCTCCCACACCTCCGCCCTTCAGTCGACCCCCGCCACGTCCTTTCCGACAACTGGGCACCTGTCAACGAGCTGCCACCGACATCTTGTCCTGTTATTCGAGGCGCCATCCCCGCGTGCCTACGCGGCGGTGCCTACATTCGCAATGGGCCCAACCCACAGTACCTACCGCGCGGGCCTCACCACCTCTTCGACGGCGACGGCATGCTCAACGCCCTCCTTCTCCCTCAAGGAGGGGACGGCACTGCTCCCGGCACCCTCTGCTCCCGCTATGTCCGCACTTACAAGTTCCTCCTCGAGCGCGACGCCGGGGGACCCGTCCTCCCAAACGTCTTTTCAGGCATCAACGGTGCAGCAGGTATCGCCCGTGGAGTCGTCGCAGCCGCGAGGATTCTGACCGGGCAGATCAATCCGGCGGAGGGGTTTGGCCTCGCCAACACAAGCCTGGCCTTCTTTGGCGGCCGGCTCTACGCTTTGGGCGAGTCTGACCTCCCTTACGCCGTCCGAATGTCGCCCCAGGATGGCGATATCACTACCCTTGGCCGATGCGATTTCGAGGGAAGGCTTTCCATGGGTATGACCGCACACCCTAAGAAAGATCCGGCTACGGGGGAGCTCTTCGCCTTCCGGTACGGGCCGGTGCCGCCCTTCCTGACTTACTTTCACTTCGATGCCGAGGGAAATTACAAGACAGGCGAGGACGTGCCAATCTTCTCGCTGACGCAGCCGTCCATGGTGCACGATTTCGCCATCACAGAACGTTTTGCCATATTCCCCGACATCCAGATCGTGATGAAGCCGATGGATATGATTGCCCCCGGCGGAGGATCACCAGTTGGGTCGGACCGGGGGAAGGTGCCACGGCTTGGGGTTCTGCCCAAGTACGCCCAATCGGATGCTGGTATGAGGTGGTTCGAGGTGCCCGGGTTCAACATTATGCACACCATCAACGCGTGGGAGGAGGACGACGACGTCATAGTACTCGTGGCGCCTAACTTGCTGTCGGTAGAACACGCACTGGATAGGATGGAGCTGGTCCACAGCACAGTGGAGATGGTGCGCATCGACATGGGGAACGGGGTTGTGTCAAGGACTCCCCTCTCCGCCGAGAACCTAGAATTTGGCGTCATCCACCCGGGCTACATCGGGCGGAAGAACCGATTTGCTTACCTCGGGGTGGGGGATCCCATGCCCAAGATATCCGGGGTGAGGAAGCTGGACTTCTCCCTGCGCGGTAAGGGTGACTGCGTTGTTGCCGCTCGGGACTTCGGTCCCGACTGCTTCGGTGGGGAGCCATTCTTTGTGCCGGCTGGGGAACGCGATGAGGAAGATGATGGGTACGTCATTTCGTATTTGCACGATGAAAGGAACAAAATTTCCAAATTTATCCTGATGGACGCCCGCTCGCCGCAACTCGACGTGGTGGCGGAAGTGATGCTCCCAAGCCGGGTGCCCTATGGCTTCCACGGTCTCTTTCTCACGCAGGCCGAGATAGGAGCTCAGCGACCGTACTAGTCAGCTACAAAACAAACAGCCCTGCCTGACCTCCCTTTACTTTTTGGCCGTTGCAATGATACAAGAAGGTTACCTTTGATAGTATTATTTTTTACGTTCACTTTATATGTATATATATATATATT